TTTTATTATTTATTTATTTCGTTATTTATTTGTAATTTTTATTTAATTTTATAATAATAAAATTTTTAACACAAAAACTTTTTATGTCACGTGTTCTTTGTAAGACGGTCTCGATAAGTCAGCCAAACATGCTCAGCCATGCACAGCTGACTTATCGAGTTTACCTATGTACATTAAAAGAAAATCATTACCAAATTTGGTCGTGAGATTCAAAATATTGCAACACGAAAATTATTGTTGTATTCAAGACAAATTTTTTTTTAGATTAATAGACTCCCTTTTTTAAAGCTGAATTGAATGGTGTTTTTTTAAAATCCAATGTGTTGGATCACATAATATTTCAAAAATTTTAACTTTTGAGTATAGATGATCTGCACTGTATACCTATCTAATTCTGGGCAAAAATAGATTAATACTAATACTCACTGATTTATAAACAGATATCTGATTGATATTAAGGCAATAGTTGGTGAAACATTGTCACAACATTCACACAATAAAAAAAACCGTTATGACCTCTTCAAAACTATTTTTTGGATACAGAGTGTTACGAAAGTAATTGACCTGTAAATTTGTTTTCTAAGTAACCAAAATCCAAACCAACATTATGAAAAATAACATCAGAGGGTCAAGAGATTTTAAATTATTACATGTAAAAATTTTGAAGCATATTATTATGTAGGTTTTAGAGCAATGATTAAAATACTTTACATTAAAATTTTTCTTCTTTTTCAAAAACAAGTAAATTTCTTTTATTTTAATTGAATAAGTTCTAAAAAATATGGACACATATAATTTTATATTCATAATCCTCAGAATATAAGCTACGAATTGGTATGTTTTTTTTATACAATTATTATGTGTGTTTTTATGTTAGAGCGATTGTTAAAAAATTCCATGTTAAAATTTCAGGGACAATTTAAAATGGACCTTACAAAAAATTGGTGCAATTCGATTTTTTGTCAGGCCAATTTTTTTCATAACACACTATATAAGATGAATGGGCTCGTTCTCGTTAAATAAAAACTAATTTTTATTTATTGATAATTTGAATATAGTAAAAATAAATACAATAATAATAATACTAATAATAATAATAACTAATAATAATAATGATTTAAATAATTTTAATAGTATATTATTAATACATAAAATTTTGAAAAGCAACTAAACATAGTAAAAATATTAACCTTTTTAAGGTGCAGAACTATCCTAGAGTAACTTTATATGTAACATACATAGTCTGACCCACCACAGGTTTGGCCTGCTTGACAGCAAAAATTAACAGTTTCACTGGTGCAACAAATTTTACCTGGTTTACAACAACCATCACCACAAACTGGATCACTAGACTGACATTTAAGATTGCATTTATCAGCTAAACATTCTACACCAGTAGGACAACATCCTCCAGATGGACACGGAGAATAACCGTCTGCACAACCCTTCTGCCTTTTCATTTTCAGCAACAATTCCTTCCTTCCAACCTGAAAAAAGAGGAACATCTCTTTTCTGTCCCAGATTTGCCCCAGTGACAGCAAAGATGTTGAAAACTATGGTGACGAGAACAAGAAGAATTAATGTAAATTTCATGATGATTTTTGTTTGTGAGTGTTTGAATGATTGAAAATTTTTTTTAAAAAAAACTTAGATAAGGTTGTTTATTTATAATAAATCATTAAATGGCCGGCCCAAAAAGTTAACCAATTAATAATAAACTTTAACCTGTTAATTAACTGGTTAAGTATATAATAATAATAAATTAGGGAAATTAATCAAATTAAATAGTATATATATTCGTGAGGCATTATTAATGATTACTATTGTGCGATTTTATAGTTTACAAAAATGTTAGATGAAACAAAATCTTTTTTAAATAATGAACAATTCTTATGCCCGCTCATTATAAATACTACCTTTCGACAAACTATAATAATAATAGAGTTCATAACACCAATGCAAATATGTGATAATTATTATGATGATAATTATAATTTACTGTTATATCTACACTCTTTTGCATATAGTCAATAGTGTGAATGTGGCTTCATTTTACAAAGATTTTACAATCATAGTAAATTTCTAAATTAAAAAACGATTCAGGATTCTGGCTATTATTAACCAGGCCAATTAAGAGTGATTTACTATTACATTTTAATCTGTTTCCAATAAGGTTGTGGGTGAAACCTCCTTAGTAATTGCTGAAACCACAGCAAAACTATATTAAATCTTATCAAAAATCCTGTTGAAACTATGCCAAAATGGCAAAACCTCAAAATGTGAAACTCTGCCGAAACTCTAATAAACAATTAATGTGTAACCTGCCAAAACCCTGCTGAATGATTGAGGAGTTTCGACAAGCAACCTTAACCATGAAGAACTTGGGAAAAAAACAAAAAGTAAAAAAGAAATAATTCCAGCAAACTTGGGTTAATTCCTCCAGAAATCATTCAGCAGAGTTTCAGCAGGTTACACACTGATTGTTTGTTAGAGTTTTACATTTGGGGGTTTTGATAATTGGCAGAGTTTTGGCAGGTTACACACTAATTGTTTATTAGAGTTTTGCCAGAGTTTCAGCAGTCATCAAGAGGTTTTGGCAAGCAACCTTAGTTAATTGTCAACATTTGGGAAAGTAATGCATTTAAATTTATCCTTTACAAATGGGTGAATATTATAAAAGTGTTCTCACCAAGGAGGCATTAACACTAAGGTTTCTGGTCCAAACTATTTTTGAAAAAAAGTAATTTGGACTCATCAATATTTTTTTATAAGAATGAACATAAAAAATCTACATAAATCAACCAATTTTAGTTTAAATAATTTAAAAGTAATTTTGCAAATTTCAATGATTAATAAAAAATAGTTTGAACTTATAAAAAATTAATTTTTCCCCAAAGTATTTGACAATTTGGCTATTGAAAGAGGTGGTTTTAACCAGAAGTCTTTGTTAACACTAAAATAAATAAAGCTTTGATTTCTTTTATGGCATATCTAGAGGTTGGAATCAACTAAAGTAGTTGACTAATTTAATTGATTACATCTGGAAAATATAAAAAAAATTTGCACATGTCAATTGTAAGTTTAATAATAAAAAAGTGTAAAACTTATGTCGGCACTGTAAGATTATGTGATACATCGGTGTTATAAGATTTATACAAGTTTATGCTAAATTAATTTCCTGATTTAATTAGTTGACTAAACTTTTTTTGAACAACTAATAGTCAACTAATTAGTCAACTACTAATATTACTAATACTAACACTAATACTATGCTAATATTATTATTGTCTGACCAATTGCAGAAGAGTATCAATATGCAAATATTAAAACTTTACATATTAAAATTTATGGATGTAATATTATGGCAAGGAAAATTTCTTGATGTACAAGGTCCAATAGTTCATTGACTTCAAGTTCCAATGATTTGTGTGGTGGTTCCAGAAGACCTTTAAAAAAATGAATCGTAACACATGGTTTTGTGTGGAAGCATTTTGAAAAAGTGAAAGATTCAAATGGAAATGAATTTGTAATTTGCAAATTAAAAAAAAAAACAAAATATTATTATTATTTTAAAAAAATTTTAGTTGACTAATTAGTCAACTAAAATAATCAATTAAATAATCAACTAAAATAGTCAACTAAAATAATCAACTAAAATAATCAACTAAATCGTCAACTAATTAGTTGACTAAAGAAATTTTGACTAACTAGTAGTTGAATAAGGATTTTTTGGATGATTCCAACCTCTAGGCATAACTGCTTTCCTAGTTTTCAATAAATTGAACTTGGCAAAAGACCCATCAGCAACCTCCTGAGTTTTGATGACACCAGGGTTAGATGCTTCAAAAAGAAAATGTTGCCATTTTTGCAGACTAAGGATGGTTGACATAATTGCTAAATTTAGGGGTCTGGGACACTTTACCAACACCCACTTTACTGGGACACTTTACTGACAGGACACTTTACTGACAGGACACTTTACCAACAGGACACTTTACTGACAATCTAAGTAAAGTCGAATTTGACATAGAAATGGTCTTGCGAGGAACACCATGGCCCCACAGAAACCACAAGATTGTAATCATGAAATACGGATTCAAACAGTATTAAATGACCATAACATTAGATCAACTATAAAGTTTCTTTGGGGCATTGCCCATAATATTTCAT